GGAGAGGAGAGGAGAGACAGACAAGCATCTCATCCTAGCCCAGCCCACAGTGGAGAGAGGGGTGGACCAGGGGTTAGCCAGGGTCCCCCTGCCTCCTGCAGGCAGGACAGAGCTGTTTGGTCACACTCCCCAGTGAGTGATGTTGACATTGGAAACATGTGACACATAGTGAAGAGGTCTGAGAAAGGAGAACAAAGGGGGCACATAGACAGGAGGTGCGAGCGCTGTGGGAACATGGAGCAGATCCACAGACCACACCTCAAACGAGGAGGCTTGCAGTCACTGGCACAGCTGGGGAACGTGGGCAGGGGTGTCCTCTGAGCACCCTTCTCTCAGGAAGTTGAGGCCCCGGATGGTGGACAGCTCTGAGAGTGGAGTGGGGCTCCGAGACGGAGACGGGATGAAAGGCAGCCAGGGCCAGGTTCTTGCTCATCAGAGGGGAAACAGGTCTATTAAAGGATTTCTGAGGAAGAGCAGAGGGACAGGGCTGAGAGCTCGCCGTTCTGGATCTCAAGGGCCAGTGGAGGGTCTTCAGGCAGGCACTGTCCTCCGGCAAGAGTCTGCAGACCAGGAGAGGCAGGGGCAGAGGATGTGGACGGCCACACGGTTCACATGCCCCCCAAAAGAGAAGTGTCAGTACTGTCCCGAAATTGAGACTAGACACAGGAATGGGGGGTTACTGGGCAGTCTGAGGTGCTGACACAGGAATGGGGCGGGGGTAAGTGGAGGAGTGAGGTGCTGAGTTGGTAACTCAAGATCTGGAGGAAGGTGGGTGACACAGGGACGGGGGAAGACAAGACTGGGCTGTTACCAGTGTGGGGCGGGTGGACAACGTCTGCAGGGTCTGTTTCTTTGCTCTTCACGAAATCCTCAAAGATTCTCACTGCTTCTGGGCTCTCGTTCAGAGAGTGGCCTGCAGGGAGACAGTGCACTGATCATATGTGTGCAAGTGCACATGAACATTACACATGCTTGTGCTCAACGCTAAACAGAAACATGTGTGTACATAGTCACACATGCACACATGTGTATGGTGCATGTGAACACAAGCTTGGGTTCGTTTGAGCACACGTGCACACAGGGTCTGTGAACTCATTGGTGCACATGAATGCACACTCATACAGGTGTGCACAGGTGTGTGTTCCTGTGCACTTGTGAAAACACATGGTCACATGTGCCCACAACCACAAACATTCACACACATACATACAGAGATGTGAGTCAACACATGTCCTCATGGGTACACATAAGCATGGGCATGGACAGGCACACAAGGGCAGCACGTGAACGTGCACATGTGCATGGGAAGACACATGTACACAAGTGCACACACAGGTGCACACACAAGTGCACACATGCTTTACTGTTCTAGAATAAATGTAAAGAAGGTGAAAAAAAAACAACAAGTGCACACATGCTCAGGGGCCCCATATGCATGTGAACACACATGTACCCAGGAGCACATCCACAGGTGTACATGTGCTCAGTGGCCCACGTGGACGTGAGCACAAATATATACAGGTGCACACACGCAGGCACACACATGCTCAGAGGCCCACATGCACGTGAACACACATATATACAGGTGCACACGTGCTCAGAGGCCCAGGATCAGCCCACAGGGCTCTGTGGGACTCAAGAGGCCTGGGTGCCAGTCCAGCGGCCTCCAGGGCGGAGTCATGCCCGCAGCCCTGGTGCTCTCCAAAAAGCAGTCATGTGAGCCATCTGGTTGTTTCTGGCGTCCAGGAAGTAAGTGATGCCATGGTCCTTCACAGGGACGAGCCAGATCTCGATCAGATGGTTCCACCCTGAAAGCCGCATGGCTGGGTCACCTGCCATTGCGTTTGGAAAGGTCCGTGGGGAGCAGAGAGGGTGCCCTCATAGACCAGGACTGTGAGGTGGAAAGGGACCCGGGGCTGGAAGGATGGGACTGAGGACGGGCCGGGAGGTGGAGGGCGGGAGGGCTCAGGGCTTCGGGTGCAATGGGGGGGTCTCCTGAGGTGCCTGTGTGGGATGGAAGTCCTTTGGGTGGTGAGAGTCCATACAGAGCAAGTGAGAACTGCTCTAACCTAAGAAGGGCCTGAGCACTTTAACCCCCAATGAAAAGCACAAGTGAAGAGTCAGGACTTCTCTCTAGAAGCCGAGCAATGGGGCCACCCAGCCAGGAACGTCCACCGCCCAGACAGGGATGCCCGTCGCCCAGCCAGAGACCCACCACCAAGCCAGGGATGCCCGCCTCCCCAGCCAGGGACCCACTACCCAGCCAAGGATGACCACCGTCCCAGCCAGGGACACATGCCACCCCAGCCAGGGATGCCCACCATCCTGCCAGGACCCACCTCTCTGCCAGGGCTCCACTGCCCAGCCAAGGACCTACCGCCCAGCCAAGGACACCTTCCACTTTCTTCAGTGAGGGTCGTCCCCCTCCCTGCTCAGTGACCCCTAGTCCTCTCTCCATCCTCCTTGTTCTCCTGGACTCCCAGGGTGAGCGGGACTCACAGCCAGGAGCACCCCTTCACCCTCTTCTGAGGCCCAGCCTGCCTCTGCCCAGTAGGATGCACCCTGCGGCTCACCCCGCCACCTCACAGGAACACAGAGGAGCCCTGCTGGCCTCAGCACCCATACTAACACAGCACGAAGGGCTCATGCTGGGGCGGGTGGGCCCAGCCCCCAGTCACACCTAGGTCCCTGCGAAGACACTGCAAGGGCAGGAGGGTGCTATTCACAGGATGTGCATCCGGAACTCCAGCTTCCCGCTGTGCCGCTCAAAGCTGAAAGGTAGCAGCGAGCGGTACCACTTTTCCCCAGGGACGAGAGAGTTCCCAGTTCAGCACTTTATATGTCACCATCCCAGGTGCTGGAGCAAAGGATGTCTGCAATGGCATTGCCCGTCACCAACCCAGGAACACGGGATGGCTGGCCTGAGGCCTCTGATTGGTAGATCCATTCATTCATCTATGGTACCTGCTCCACTCACCTGTCCATTCACCCATCTGTCCATCTCCCAACCCTGCATCCACTCACCAATCCACTGATCCATCCATCTCCTAACCCTAACCCTCACTCATCCATCTATCCCATATCCATCCATCCATCCATCATCCATCATCCATCCATCATCCATCCATCCATCATCCATCCATCATCCATCCATC